CCACATATAGAAGTTACAAGCGCCTTTAAGTAGATAAATTATTGAGAAGAGTTTCACGTATGATCGTGCGGTAAAAGGCGATCGCATACATATAACGTTTTAATTAAAATATAAATATCAAGTGCTATCAGAGAAGGGTATGATGTAATTAAATCACGACAGAAAAAATAATAATTGATTTTATAAATAAAAAATATTGTACTAGTTACATCGCGAGGGATTTCGACGCCTGGAGGATTCTTCGTTTAATTTCATATATGAGACTAAGAAAATGACTCCGAGGATCTTAATTGCGTATCAAACTAGCCAGGAGATAGCGACATCTCCGGTTTTTATGTTGTGTAAAATATCTCTCGTAAACTATCTCCTATATTATATTACGTACACGTATGACGACATATTAGATAAATCGAATAAGTATAGCCATCGTAACAGTAATAAGTAAAATAACGACTCTCCATTGAATGGATGTCGCGATAAATTCACGAGACAAAAACCTAAAATCAATTTTAATTATTAAATATTAAATTCATAATTTAATGTTGAATAAATTTAACCAATATTAAATTTATTTTTAATTAAATCGCCCACGCGCATCACAAAATGGTGTTAAATGTCACGCGTCGTATAGTAATTAATTTCTTAATTTACAAATACGATCGCGGCACAATTTTGCATTCTACTCGATACACAGCGATCGAATCGCGGCGAATCATAAAACGCGCGATGCGTCTCTCGCGAAGTACGAGAACGACCTATCGGGAGAACTATCTGTACATCGGTAAACCCTATCACAATTGACTTCACAGACGATATTTAGCGCGGTGTATTGCCACGCCGATCGTATCTACGCCGCGTCTCTGCCTATTTGTCTCGTCGTATGACAACGAACTCGGCCGGAATTTCCCGTCTGCATGGTCGGAACGTAACGTTGCATGATAAAGGCACTCGGGGTATGGCACCCCAGCAAAAGTCGAGGACTCGCCCCAGGGGACAATGCTCGGACCCTCCTGCTTCTCTCGTTCCGGCGCGCCGTATAATACACGCACGCACGTGTGTATACACACGGTAGATTCTCGCGTCGCCGAAATGTATCAGAAAATGGAATTTCTACAAGAAACTTCGCGCATCCCTTCTGGAGTAGCGGTCCGGATAACATCGTTGATATATATGAAGTTGGTATGCGAGTTGAATTTGAAGAGATACGCAGATGATATCATATATTCCATATGCAAAAGTGTCGTTACGTTGATAATCGGCATCATTGACTATTAAACATGTTATATCTTGAAGTATTATGTTAGAGCTTATTCGACCAAATTTTCGCATGTAATGTAGTAGAAGCTTTATTCGCATTTCGCATATTTGGTATTTGCAACCATTACTGATATTGTCATATTAACTTATTAATAGAGGAAATAATAAACAAAAAATTGTGAAACATTAATGTAATGTGTAAAGAAAGGTAAAATATAAAATAAATTTAAGAATTATTTTGAGAAAGTAAATGTTTCTCTCTCTCTCTCTCTCTCTCTTTCGTTCTCTCTAAAAGACTGCAATCTATATCTTAAAACATAATGTGAATAAAAAGAAATAAGTGAGAAATGAAAATATATGAGAAATATTAAATAAAATACATATATAATAATTTTGACCTAACTTTGATTTTATATATATATTTCTCCTTGTCATATATATTTCCTATTTTCGTACGAGTTTTGTAATTATTGCAAATATAAATTTTTTATTGTACTTTATAAATTACATAAAATGTAATGAGCTAAAAATATAAAGAAAACTCACATTCTTTGATTTATTCGATATTAGGAGAGTGTCGCTTTAATATGTATCGTATTGTTAGTGTACACATTTTAAGATAAAAACATATAATAAAACTAATATTTAGTATTTTTATTTTAATTTTAAAATAGAAATAGGCTCAATAATTTATTCAAATCTGCACTAGTAAAAAATTTCCAATTAATTTTACCGGAAATCTTAAAATATGAAGCATGTGAGTTTTATACTTAGATACTTTTCGAATGTAATTCTTATGAAAGAAAGTTTTTGCTATGATAAATCATCTTTAAATTTTTATATAAAGATCAGAAATGCATTCGGGATAGTATGATCGATTGTCGAAAATGTTTGTGTATTAAAACCTTCGCGTACACGTTAATTCACTTTGTCATTTTAATCAGGACTAATTAAATATCTCCCCCGGATCGAAAGCATTCTATTCATTATATCGAGCGGCACATATTCGATGTCCCGTCACCGCAGGCAAGTGTCGACCAAGCCACTCTCGCTTTGAGCTTCGTAATCGATGCGTTCGTAGTAATGATCCCGCGGTTAACATTAATGCATGGCACGATCGGTAAATTTTTATTTAATATCTATGTGATATTTCAAATATTTCTTCCCCATTTCCTCCTCTTTTCCCGAATAGCGCGCGCGCGCGATCTTCATCTCAATAATATGATAAGATTATTTTAAAATTCGTGTTTAAAATAAGTATTCATCGATAACCCACATTCATTAATTTCTTTTATTTTTCTTTGGTCTAATATTACCTCTGTCGTTGTCAAGCATACTTGTACCTATTACTGTCACTTATTCTACGTATATTTGTACGTTATTTAAGTGCTTGTCCCAGAACATTAATAAATGCTTTATCTATTCATCTCACAAAGATTTGATTTAATTTACCGCAAATAATATTCACGTGTGAAGAATGTGATTCACATCTATCCGTCTCAATGTATGAAACAATTACGCGATCATTTTCAAATATTATGACATAATACTGATAATGTGAGCTACTATTTTGGCAGTTCTTGAAAGTGTATATTTTCTGGACTCCCCGACATTCTGAAATATTTGTATTGGATAGAAAGAATATTAGTCTTCAATTTGCGAATCTTAGAGAACTGATTATCTCTCTCGTGCTTTGCGAAATTCCATAGATACCCCTCAATATTTTCGTTGTATGTCGATAATGAGAATAGGAAAAGTCCCTCGCGAGGATTTTCCTTTCAGTATACGTATCGTATCGTAATCTGCACCAATATAAATTTTATCCTCTTTTTCGGTATGTTCTCATTTAGCTATCTTGCATCAATGGATAGGCTATTATTGGTAGATAATCGACTTATTAAAAAAAATGAACATATCTGGCTCATGCATCCATGCTTTCATTCCAGATTACAGTGGCGCGAGAGAATATCATGCAGGCACGTGTATCGCACATCACCGATCGTCGAATGCATAATTGCGTGTAAACGAGTACGCAGGAATGCAGTTAATTGCGCATTATTTTAGCGTTAGAATCACGCAAACATCGCGAGAGAAGAATGAAACGTAAATCTTTGGCGAATTACGTACGATATTTCTGTTTACGACATGATATTTAGTGTTAAATCGGGGATTTTCATTTAAATAAAGCTAACTAAAAATTAAAAAAAAAGTTATTTAAATGCTAGGTCTAAATAAATATCCTACTTCATTATATTAAAAAATCCAAAAATTGATTATCCAGAATTTTTACGGATCGTGTCGTATTTACAGTAGAAAATAACTATTCTTTAAAAATATTTAACGTGGAATGGAGCAGATGTGCACCTAAAGTTCCCCGAAATTTAAAAAATAAATTGTCAAAGAAAAACAGAATTGTAGACACGAACGTAAATGTTAACAGTTAAGTGTCCTTTCTAACAGTCTTAAGCTGTTAAATGTCTGATCCCAAGTTAAACTAGGAAGATTATTCGGATTTATGTAAAGTACTTTTAGAATACTGTAAGAAGTGTAAAAAGTTAGAGAGAAAAATTTGCAAAGACAAAAAATACACAAATGGAGGAAGATATAATCGTAATATGCATATCTCGAGGCAGAGCATGTCTCTAATTTCCGAGAATACACCAAGCTGCTCACACAAGACTATAACCCTTGTCCTCCGGGAATTAACCAAGCAATTATCATTCGTGCTTACAAATGCTCCTTAATAATAGTGTTCTATCAAAATAGTAAATATCATTCCATCAAAATAATTAAATCGCAAATTGATTAAAATTGAAAAAATTGTAAAATTCTTTTTTATGTTGTTCCACTTGTGCAAAATTCGATACTGTCAATCCTAATTATCACTGTGCAATTAATGATAGTTATTAAGAGATGAAAAAAGAATTAAATTAAAGATATAATATATTAATATAAAATATTAGAGTAATGTATGTTTTAGTTATTTTTAAACAATTATCTCATTTATATATTTTACTATTTCCATATTTTTGCATAAATTTGCACATTCCATCGCATTTTTCAGTGTCGAGATAGATATAACACTTGCAAATTTCTACTTAAATTTAAAGCATTTTAATTTTGAGGCAAGTTACTAAAATTCAACGAATCCCATCGCTCTAAAATAAATAGGTATTGGGTGACAAATATTCGATTGACGATGCCACGTCGACACGATCAACGGTGCAAAGTGGATCGCCAATTATGCTTCACGGCCCGTCAAGCTCTCCACGACGATGGGAAGCAGGGGTGGTTAAGTTCCGAAGCAGAACGATGAATAATCGTAAATTATGCAAAACGTGAACTAAGTTAGGAATTCTAATAATCAGCCGCGTGCCCACTTTTATTGCTCACGTCTCAAAAGATGAAATTAATGAAATCTATATGCTAAATATGATTTCTCATATTCGCAACATTAATTAATTATAATAAAATATATGATAATTATGATTTTAAAAAATCATGTTTAAAACAATGTTCAGTTAAACTCTCACTTGACTCGCACTTGAGAAACCAAAATTTGGAAGAATATCCAAGCGCCGTAACGTGAGATGAATAACTTAAGACATTTTACATCTTAATAATTAGAAATTCGGAATTTGTCTTCTATTTTGTGAAAGTTGTGAAATCAATGAGAGAAACTTAGCTTGAAAAACCAATTTTCCCCGTCAATCAGAAATCGGAATCATGTCGATATCTTGTACCTTCCTCGATGTAACGGCGAACATCGTCACCTGAAACTTTCCCGAGGCGGAAGGTATAATCGCGACGACTGCTGTACGACAACTGCGAACTAACTGCATTCAAAGCAGAGCCGACTACATATGTCCTCCTACGTCGAGAAAGCGAGAAACCAAACGGGGGTCGAGTCAGTGGCCGCGTAGACGTTCGCGGTGTGTCGACGAGAAAGAGAGAGAGAAAGAAAGAGAGACAGAGAGAGAGGGGGGGGGGAAGAGGAGAAGAGAGTGAGAAACTCACCATCAGCAACTTGACCTTGTTAACCAAAGGGGAGGTTGTAAGGAACTTGTTGACGGCCGTCAATATTCTCCCTTCCAACGTGGCAGCGCTTCCGGCGTCTCGTCCTCGTGAGCATCCAGGCCCGATGTCCGCCCCCTCACCGGAACTGGGCAACAACTTCTGGCAGTCGCCCGGCCCGAGCTCCCTCTTCTTCAGCTCTTCCCGCGGGCCCTCGTGGCTCCGTTCGTCCTCTGTGCTCCGCCGCACCCTCAACAATCGCGCTCAGCACGTGTCGGCATCAGAACCGGCCACCAGCTCCCTTCTAGTCCGGGGTCCCTTCAAGCCCTTAGGGCATCCAGCGAATCGTTATTCGTTTCGTTCTTATCTTATTGCCGAGCGCAGTTTCCCTCCGGGTGGAGAACCGGCCGGAAACCTACCGATTGTTTCTTCGAGAAAACTTTCCCGGCTTCTCTCGCGCGACCCAGCACTGCGTGACTTGCGTGGTACCAACGAAGCGGGGCTGGTACCAACGTTGATGAACCGATTACTTATATATTAACCGATATTAATGGTTGATTAACTGATGCACGGTTAATTCGAAGAAATCGTTTTCGCCGTTTATGCGTGGATAATTTTTGTCCAAAATATTTATAGATTATATGTGATGATGCGAGGCTTTTCTTGCCCCGAACAATTTCTTTCTCTTTTTATCTTTATCTGTGTATCTTTGGATATCTATCGCTGAAAAATTATGGTATCATAACTTTAGACGATATTTACTGCCTAACTTTTGACACACGACAGTAACGATAGTGTCGTGTACGCGATGTCAGCTATAAGCTTCCGGATGACTGTCACTTCCTCGAGGTCCCGACAGTGGCGCGTTCTCGACGTGGACTGAAGTCCGGAACGGTCCAACGGATGCTGCGACTCGCTCCAGAGGCCGAAGAACGCGCGAGCGCGCGAGAGGAACGCGGCGTGCGAGATATAGGGAGAGAGGGAAGGGGAGGAAAAAGAGGGAGCGACGGAGAGAGAAATAGAGGGTGGCGGAAGCGAGGCATGAGAGGGAGGATTCTCTCGTGGAAAATGGGGGAACAAGATTCTCTATCTCTCTCCATTTCTCTTGCTCTCTCTCTTTCTCGTTCAACGAAGAAGGGGTGCCAGATGGGTTATAGAAGGCTATAGAGCTCTCTCGGGGGTTCGGAGTTTCGACTAACGCCACTAGTTGCTGGAAAACCTCGCAGATTTTCGCGCCCGATGCGATACCGGCCGCTCCGACGATCCCTCTTCTACTTTTCTCTCTCCCTTTTCTCTGAGATATCTAATGGGTTTACACGAGTTACAGGTTAGCCGGGTCGACGAATGTTTTTGTAGATGTTATCGGGGAATTGATACCCTCATGAATCTGACATGATACAGAAAAACGGCATCATTCGAATAATGTATCGGTAAAGAAATGTCTGCGGGAGGATGAAAAAAGTTAGAGCGCGAGATCAGATTCAACGAATTTGATTTGCGACTCGCAATTTACTTTTGAAATGAATAGACTACTATGATTTCGAGTATCATTTGTGTAATTATTGATTAAATGACTAAATGCAGATCGCGATATTTTTCCATATTTTTTTATATAACAGATACAAAGTACATATATATATAGCACCAAAATTGTTAAAATTGAGTTTTTAATTGAAAGATAGCAGAAATGTAACAAGTTATATTTACACAAGCGCAATGTACTTTATGAAAAAAATTCTATCTGCCGAAAGAGTTTTATTCACGAATGGGTGCACGGACGTGATCAATTTGCCAAACACGTTAAAAATTGGTATTCCCGGTATGTCGTTGATCGATAGTTCCATTGTTCCGGTAAGAGAACGAGTCGATTATATTGTATTTCTTCCGCAAATTGATCCGCCCCGAATGTTCTTGTTAATCTGTTATCGTCTTTGCCAAAATATCGGCACAATTTAAATATATTATTAAGTATAATATCTCTGTTAAGTAGACTGAACATCCCCCCGAATACGCCAAACGTATTTTTCACAATCAATTAATTTCAATCGCCGAAATCAAATTGCATTTCACACCGTCATATATTGTAAAATCATGTTAAAGTATACTTTTAGTTTTTTAAGCATTCTTAAGAATATTGAGAGGACTTTTCGCTAGAAAACAAATATATTGGATAAACCAAAAGTTAACTCACAACCGACCAAGATAATGAAATGGAGCGAGCTGAGAAGCAAGAATAATAGCTTAAAATTTGTGGGGAAATTGCGGTAACGCATTGTATAAGGAATTATTTATGCGGTAAACGAGATCCGATAAGAATACCCTGGATTTACTCACTTTCGGGCTGGTTTGTAATTTTCCAAGCGTTTCTCGCGGGCCGAGTTCTTTTGTTGAAAAATTTTTCTTTGTTTCTATGCACCCGCCCATCGTCGTGTTCCGTCCATATTTACCGCAACGCTCACGTGGGTGGCCGTCATTATCCATATTGGCATTGTTTTCTGACACGCGGGTTGCTTTTATCAGCGCGCACAGTCTATATCGGCGCTACGACGCGGTGTGCATCCCGTTTCTTTCAAGAAATTCCCGTCCGCGTTAAATCACGTTTAACGTCAAGAATGGCTCACGAGGCAAATCTCAGTTAACAATGGCCGGTCGACCTTCTTTGCCAGACTCTCGCAAAGAAACGCACTTCTTTCGGATTAATCGCGAAAAATCGCAGGGCATCAACGCTAATGATCAGCTCATTCATATTCACCGATAGATAATTTTTCAAATTTCCGTTGCCAAATGCATTTAACTAATTAGCTAATTTAGCTTTGTTTAAATAATTGTCTCTAAAGAGTGAATTATAATAAATTATGTTAAAACCAAAGAGATGATTTCTTGTGATAAAAACAAGAAATGCACGGTATATATACACGTATTCTTTTAATTTGTGTGTATTGTATACTTTTTGAAATAATTCGAAATATGAAAATAAAACGTACATTTCAAAAATTAGTAATATAACATCAAGCACTGATAGCATTATTAATTTTCAATAGTCTCTTGAAATTGAGAGCATCTGCAAATTAAGAGCTTATAATGGTAATGTATATGTACTTTAACTGCAGTTATTGATTAAAATCTACTGTATTTTAATCGGCGCGCAAATATTAATATAAAATCAATAATTATATTCTATTTGTTGCTTGTTTTTCTTTCCACAAAAAAATCATTCTTTAAATATTCTCTGTATAATCATCGTTTCATTATCTATTATATACGAACTTTTACACTACAAGATTTATAGATAAACAAGAAAAGACTGATGAAAGAAGGTCATAAATCAGTGGATAAGCTTCATGCTGATTTTTAATTTATAAATGCAGCTTATATTTTACATCCTTGCAATATATTGCATGATGTAAGTTCTTTATTTAACATTTAACTCATGAATCACACTTTGGATCAATTTTGTTAATATTGAGTTAATAAAGACTGAGGTATAAATCTAATATGTCATAATTTTTGGACAGCTTTTATATTCAATTTCATTCTAAAAGAATTAACAGTACATTTAATAACCGATAAACGTTGGCGCGATACGATTAATTTTGAATTTATGCAGAAAGTAAATTTAATCTGGCGTATTCGGTGTTAACCAAAATGGAGTTTAATCAGTGCATCTCATTGTGGCTATTCGTTAAAATTTGACTGTAAATTGGATAACCAATGTTGGTTGACCCGCTCTTTTTATTTTTTTTTTTAGTGCAAATGCTTTTAATATTATCGCGGCCGCTACATTGAATGAACACTGATGCAAGTATATATACGTTGCAATGTATATATATATATGTATATATATGTGACGTTTTAAGCTTGTCATGTGCAAACCCGTACGACCGCTGTGCAAAATTGGGTTTTTATTCGAAACGTGTCGCGATAAATTGATATAAAATTAAATTTGATCAAAAACTGATTTATAAAAACAGCGCGATTAATTTATTTAAAAAGAATTTAAACTGTTTTTTCAATTCTCTTTCTATAAGAACTATAAGATTTAATTTTCGTAGTTCGGTGGTACAGATATAATTTTCAGAGCTTATTACAAGGATGCAAAATATCACAGAATCAGGGTCATATGGTTAATCGTGGATATGCCATAATCTCTTGTTGCAGCTATAACGCGCACATCACGACTATTATACTGCGAGAGTACATAATGTGTGGCGGGAAACGCGAATAGATAATCCAATCTGAGGTCTGCTTTGTGCGAATAATACGATAGATGGGATCCTGATTGAGTTTCGTTCTCGTTTGACGGCCGTTTCGGATAGCTTCCGAATTAGAGTTATTGTTGGCGCATTGGTATCTATATCGGATCAGAAGAGTTCTGGCAGACTTGTTCAAATTGCATTAGTTGGACAAAACTTTCGTACGGGTCTGCACTTTGCCGAGAGATAGTATGTATAACACATTTGGTTATACAAAATATGTATTTTCAAATATAACGAAAATTTTCTGTAACATATATATATATTGGAAGATTAAAAATTACCTTCGTTTATGTATAGAAGAAAGTTGAGGTCATTTCTCACAAATCCATGTATTTGGTCGAAAAATAGCTCCTCGACGCAAACGTGAACTGTATGATATCTGAAAGTGAGATGTTTAAATTTGAAATATATCTCAAGTAAATAATGCATAATACACGAAATCAATATAGCAACGCCCTCTATATCTGACAAAGATTCAAATAAAAGATTCAATCGGTAACAACATAAAAGAGGTTGTAGCAGATATAGATTTCAAAATGTTTAGGAAGAAAATTTTCTTTCTGATGTTTTACAGTGGCACATTTAATTTTAGACCAACACAAAAAAGTTTATAGCAAAAGTGTTTTGTATTGCATCGTATAAGTTTAAAGGCATTTCGGTTAAACTTCATTAATTTAAACGATAATTATATTAACTTTTATTAAGAAAATAATACTTATAGTATTTTGTTAAAAAAAAATAGAATTTTTAACTTTTTTGTTGCTTGACTTATGGAAAAAAGATTAGGAACGATAAATTATATAGTCTGAAATTTTGTTGCAGGCAATTCTATCAGTTAAATTAATCACCGATTAGAGGTAATAAAAACTTAGTCGAGCGCGTGCGAAGTCATCTTTAATCTTGTGTGTGTATAATACAAGTAAAGAGATTAGCATTATTAACAATTGTTAAATTGAATATTATTATTATGTTTACTTCGTAAAAAAGAAAGTGTAGGCGGATTATTTACCTTTTTTTTTTTATTTCGGGACGCTATATCTCGCCTCCCTTGCTCTTTCCTCTCGAACTCAAGACTTCCAGCCATGATGCACGAATATCTAGATGTTCCTACCCAAAAATGCCACTAAGAATCTGCAAGCAATAAAATCACTACTGTAATGGAGGATTTACATTAACGTCCAAACATGTCGGTAGCTAAGGACCCTAGAAAATACGATCTGCTATTGGATATCGAAATGTCGAGCGCCAGGAAATGTCTTTTTTCGTGGTGATGTAGATATCGTTAATTTTATTCGTTTTGTACAGTTGGCAGTAAAGTTCAACGAACAACGGACAGTAACTGATTTGAAAATTGATGCCATTTATTTTGTGTCGATTATTTTCGTTTAATAATAATGTGTTGTAACTTTTATTTAATAAAAATCGACAGAAACAGTTATTGAAATAATTGTAATGTGCATAAATATTGTTCATGCGAATGTGAATGTACAACATGTTATAAATCTCAGCTTTTCTTCCAATACATTACATTTGTTATTGGAGTTTTTCTAATGCACGCGTGTGCCAATTTTTTCTGACGATCCTCCTTTATTTAACATTTATTTTCTTTATTAAAGATCGTCGAGATTACCGTGGAAACTACAAATTTACTAAAATAAAATCATAAAAAATAACGAAAATTACAAAATATAATTGATCATTTAAATAACATGTTTTATATTTATAAAAAGCGCTTTATCATACATATAAATATATATACATATTAAAAATTATATAAAATTATAAATCTTTTTTTAGAGTTCTGTGAATGAGGAAATAACTAAAAATGGCATCTAATTGCAACATGAGGGACTTTGTGAGTGACTCACAAAACTTTATATTACGACTCTCTGGAGATTCTATTATTGAAGATACACAAGATCTTGTTGCAATCAGTAAGATAAAAGATAAGGATAATATTATTGTGATTAGTGATTCTAGTTGTAGCTCATCGCCTGAGTATAATGACAAATCAAAATGGAAATTCAATTCTGATAAGAATAAGAAAGAAAAGTACCAGAGATTATATTTTCTGAATACTTCTTCCTCAGAAAGTGAACAAGAAAAATCTAATTTGCCATACAAATGGGTTGTTAGATCTAACAATAAATCTCCAGATAGGAAATATATAAATAAAACTACAATACAAATTAATAAGGTATCTTATACTTCTGACGAAACTGCTAGCAATGGCAGTATAAATCATGACAGAAAGGACCAAATAAATAAATATGATAAAAAATCCTATGAAAGTCCTATATTAATGTTTCCAGAGAAAAAAAAGACAGATTCAAAAATGAAACAAAAGTACAATGTTAAAAAGGCAAATGAAGTAATTAAGTCAAATCATGCTATCTATAGTGATAGTTCCAATGTTTCTAGCAGAATAAATAAATTTCCAGCTTGTGATACTCCACAACAAAATAAAATAGGAAAAATCAAACTCACAAAGCAAGATACTCACAAAATTTTGAGAAATATAAAGTCCACGCAGGTTGTGTATGATTCTCCCAGAGAGAAAAAAGAAATCAATGTAATAATTGATGAGAGCACAGATGAAGATGTAATGCATCCAGCTATATCAGCTAGTTATAATGAAAAAATAAAGCACAATCTCAATGATACTCTTGATGTTATTGATACAAGTCTTAAGGATGATATTGTTAATTCACAAATGGATTTGTTGAAACCATACAAAACGTACAGTAAATTTCTCGACATACTAAGGAAAAAGGACCTTCATGAATCTTTATCTGAAAAGAAGAAAAGACAAATTGTAGAGTGGTTGACAAATTCGCCTGATGTTCTAAGCGATAGCTCTTGCAGTAATATACCTATGAGTATTAGAAATAGCATAGATTCTGGAAATAGCAGTCTAGAAAGATTAGAACTGAACTATGAAACTCCAAATAATAGAGGAAGAATCAACAAAATACAGACTGACAAGAAGCAAACCACAATTGTTAATTCTGACAAAGTGATTAATTCATTCTTGACGCATCAAACTACAATTGATAAATATTTTAAAAACTCTAACAATGATATTCCTAAGTTTTGTACACCAACTAGACCAAAATCTTTGCTGAAAGTGCATACTGACAAAAAAGTTTCTTCCTCAGTAGTAAATACACCTGAAAAGACAGATATAATGAACTGTGTAGATATTTTAGATAAACTTTATGGTAATTCGTGGAGAGATAAAGCTAATGCATTATTACCGACAACTGAACCACGAAAGACATCTAATCAAGCAACAAATAGAATTATCCAAACAGAACGGTGATTTATATTTTTATGTGTAATGTTTTATTTTAATAAAAAAGAAAACATGTCTAATAAATTATATTTTTTTGCAGGAAACCTACATCAAAGGATAAATATTATATAACAGATTCGGATTCAGATAAATCTGACTTTGGTAAGTTCATCATGTTTTATTAAAATTTGATTTACTGTTATAATTTTCTCTAAAAAATTTGGTTTTAGTTAAAAATAATGTTAAATTAAATCGAAGGAATATTCAACAAAAACAAAAAGAAGTAGACAGTTTTATTAATGATGAATCGTTATCAAGTAGTGATAGCGAGAGTTTATATCACACTGCATTAACAAATCCTAGAACTTCTACAAATAGTACGACATCTAAACCTATGCCAGTACCAGCTTCAATTAAAAGGTATATGTATATTATATTTGTCATTTATATTGATAAAGATACTCAATTTAATCATATAAACATATTATTTTTTTGGTGCAGACTTCAAGTAATATGTGATACCGATACTGAGGATGAAAATGATAAATTTAGCAATTCCAAGAAAAATCTAGACAGAAGAAGATTATCATTTAGCGATGATGAAAGTTCTAACACAAGTGAATTTGATCCCGGAGATTATGTACCACCAAAAAATATATGTAAAAAAGGTAAGAAATATCAAAAAAATTTCTTTAATTTCAATAAAATATACAGTCTGTAATTTGTTATTTAATGTTAAAATAACCTGATATACACTTTTAGAAGTTATTAAGGCCCCTTTACAATCCAAATGTAAATCAATTGCAACAGATAAATCTGTAGGATACAAAAGCTTTTTGACATCTTTGTCAAGTACGATTCCGATAAATAACATTCATCCAGATGCAAAAAAATATATATTGAATTATAAAAATAATAAGGAAGAATTATGTAAAGAATTGTATAAATTGTACAATGAGAAAGTATTCGACAACCAGTTGCCTCAAGATATGCCAATTGAATGGAGCATTCGTCTGACAGGAACTGCTGGATACTGTTCCAGCAAGAAAATTGTAAAAACTCTTAGTGGTGTCATTAGATATTCAAGAATTGTATTAGCAACAAAGGTATATTCTTTGTTTTACTTTTTATATGTATATGTGTGGATATAATCAATCGAGCATAATTGAGGAATAAAATATGTTTTATAGGTTTTGGATACACCAGAGAGATTAAGAGATACTTTGATTCATGAAATGTGTCATGCTGCAGCTTGGCTAATAAATAATGTTAAGGATTGTCATGGGCCCTGTTGGAGAAATTGGTACATTATCTTACAATGCTTTTAATTGACAAATAATTTGAATATATAATTAAGTAATATCTTAAATTTTATAATAAAATAACATTATTATATTCTTCATTGTGCAAAACGTATAATTTATTTTTATTATAGGGCTCATAAAGCAATGAAGACATTTCCTGAATTGCCACCAATTACTGTATGTCATAATTACCAAATTAAAACTAAATATACATATCGATGCACAGGTTGTGGATACAGGTGACAAATTTTGTAGTTTGTGTGTCAAATTTTGAGTATAATAAAAATTTATTCTCTCTGTTTGTTTCTAATTTCTATTTATTATTATTGATTTATATTATTTGTTGCAGTATTGGAAGACACTCAAAATCCTTGGATATTGAAAGAAAAAGGTGTGGCCGTTGTTTGGGAAAGTTTGAATTGTTAATTAATAAAACGACTAAATCTGGCATTAAGCAAATGCAAACTCCAAAGAGAGAACCTTCTGGTTTCGCACTTTACGTGAAGCAGAATTATAATTCAGTGAAAAAAGAGAAAAATAATATAAAACATGCTGATGTGATGAAGATTTTAGGTCAGCAATTTTCGGCAATTAAAATAGCAAAGAATGATAATATACCTAGCAATTAAGAATGAT